CTCCGAGCCCGCCGTGAACGCTTCGAGACAGGTCGCACCACACCACGCCCAGCAGGCCCCGCCGCAGGCACGGCCACCATCTTCACATCCACACAGGCCACACCCGCACCGTCCGAAGAGTCCACAGAGGCCACATCACCCACACTGTCCACATCATCCAGGGAAACAGCCTCAGAACACCGACGCGCGCGCTTCTGCAAAGGGATGGAAAGGGCAGAACTACAGTCACCAACACACACAGGCACGGCAGGCACCTCCCCCTGCCGAAGCACCCCCCTCTAAAACAGCAGAACCCGCGTTTCCGGGAGCCGGTATCACATCCACAGGCGGGGGCGGGACATTGACCTCCACCGGGACATCCTGCACTACTCGCAGCTCAGGCGACGGCCCGACACCCACACACACCGGCTCAATAACCCCAGGGGCCACAGCAGTCATCAGACGTGTCGCACAGGCCGTAGAATTCGCCTCAACAGGCGGAGCAGCAGACAGGCAATCAGGCGCCTCAGGCACAGCACCTACTCCGTCCTCAGAACCGTCCGAACGTAACAAGGGCGGGAAATCCTCCGCACGAAAAACATGCACCCGACCAGTTGCTCCCACGTCGCACGCCGCAGCCAGATGACCCTCGTGACCACACCGATAACAGGTGCGCGGTTGACCCCGGTACTGGCAGCGGAGCGTGTATCCCAACACGGACATCGACGACGGTACACTACACTTCAGCGACATTGTCAGGGTGCGAGAGCCGTCAAGCATACCAACACAGTGCCCGGCAACGACCTTGTTCCAACGAACACTTAACACTGTCCCAAATCGCTCAAAACAGGAGGTTAAAAAGTCGTCCTGAAATTCGAAGGGGGCACCATGCACCGCCACAGACGTCAAGGTGACATTAAGATTCACCACCTTAACTGAGCCAGCTGAATCAGGAAGAGGGTAAACACGCCCCTCACAACGCTCGAGAAACGCCTGAAAGGCAGCCTGGAGGCGGAACTTGACCACAGCACGGTTGCCCTGAAGCAGCTGGATGCCCACCAGGTCCGACAGCTGCACATGAAGCACGTCCACTAGGGCGACACCAACCAATGGATGGTCCACCGGCACCGTAAATGCCAGACCAGCCGACAATGTCCTCTGCACTGGAAGGCGAGACGACCCCATGGCTAAGGCAAACGTCACCCTGTCAGTGGCAAACCACCACCAGCAGGGCAAACCAGCAATCACCCAACGTAAACACTAGCCAGTGCGGAGAGACCTCAGGAGCGTCCGACCTGGCCGGTGGTCACCACGCAACTCCAGAGAGCTTCTTGTGAGGAATCGTGACATGCGCACCTCGTCAAAGACTTAAAATTATATGTCAACAAACTGGGAGTTGCCACAGCGACCCTTACACTAACAACGGGAAGTGCTAATTATATGCATACAGTATATAAATGATTGTAGAGCTCTTATTCATTGAGTAGTATTACTGATATGGTAATGCAGCCTAAGACGTCTCAAGCCAGGTTTACAATAAGTAACATAACATTTCCCATGTTATATAACACATTTGTGAATGCAGTTTAGTTCTCTGTAATCTTTTTGCAGGAGTGATTCAAGGGAGAAACATCCAGTTGAGCTGTTTACCACCTGTAAAACACCACAGACATTTACATGCTTGGAATGCCCTAACAGCCGTCATTTTACAGAGCCAGACGCCATTTCATGATCAGAAGGCCCACATATGGCAAACCAAAGGCAGATGTTTAAGGATCAGCACTCTATCACTGCCTATACAGGCCATATCAACATACATCAGCTGAGGCTATCTTTTTAAGTTATATTAACACAGTAGATTGTAGTACTAACATAATACTGTAGTGTATTCAATTTCACCATATTTGGTATAATTTATATAAAATTAACAATAAACGTATATAGCTTAATTATCATCAACAATTGTGGGATAAGCTGTGTGCAATTATTACCCCCCCCCCCCCCCCACTATATATTCAGGTTAAACCCGGCAGGCTGAATCTAAAATACAGTCCATTTAGAATTATAGTTCAATTTAAATAATTAAACTAAAAGTTATAAAGTAAATAAATATTCAAAAATAAAAAGCACATTCTAGCTGCAATGACTTTTGCTTTGTGTTGATTCACTTTATTGTTATTTGATTGTGAGTATGCATAGAGAGATTTGTGCATATAAGAAGCGGTGTCATGCAGATAAGTTCTCTCTAGTAAACTAGTGGATTTTACTTTAATGAATTTCACTTTACCCTAGACCTATTTACACTGAAATATATGAGGTCAGGTGGCTCATTGATTATTGAGGGAAAGTTTTACTCCACAAGCCTTACTGAGGATCGTGACACGACATCCTCCACTGTGGAGTAATTTCCTAGCTGGAATTGATTTGATATATTATTATTTAAATATTTATCTCTAAATTTACGGTAAATAGTTAAAATTAATAAATGGACTGTATTTCAAATATTTCTAAGTGGACTGTATTTTCTAAATTAATTTCCTGCCAGGTGTTTCCCAATCCACAACTCTGAGGGGATTGTACTTTCATTATCTATACCAGAATAGGTGGATAAGACGACTATAAAGACTAGTTAAACTACAAATTAGTGAGTGAACAACTAAGGCTTAGCTCCAAAGTCGTAATGGCCTGATAAGAAGCCCTGGATATCCATCAATCGCGAATAGGGAATCTTGTAGGTAGTCACTGTAATGGCGGCTTAAGAAATCTCATGGTACTACAGGTCAATCCGGCGTCCTCTCTTTTTCTCTTGAACTGCGCTTTTTAGTAGAGCTCGTCAGTTGGGTGGAACTTCTCTTATTCCTGTATCGCGAAGTTCAGGTAAAATGTACGTGCTAATTATTGCTGAATGCCAGTACATCCGAGTGTCTGGGGAGCCATGTGCGCAATCGCTTGGCGTCGCCCAAGAGACGCGTTCAGTTTTCTGTGAGTCAGTTTTAATTTAGGGAGGTAGGTGCTTATTTACTCATGGGTTCTAATTAATTCCAGTCTTAATTAATACTTTTCTCGTATTTCAACTCTCAGATTGGAAGTATTACATGTTAAGAGAAATATTGGTTACTACATCTACTTTACTGAAGTGGCCACTTCGCGTTTTTCCTGAGAGCCACTAAGTACGTTCTCTATAATAAAATTAGTAAGGTTAATATTGTTGTAAGTACCTAATATAGCAATTTTAACTTTGTATGTCAGGGGTTAGTAATTTTATGTAGGAATTTCCGACAACCACAACATACAGTACTAGGCATAGTGTTGCACTGTGTGCAGGGGGTCCCAACACTATATACAGTACCAAGCATTATGTAGCACTGTGACCAGATGAACCAACACTACATATAGAGATTGACACTGTGGACAAAGACAAAATCTTTAGCTCTGGTGGAAAACGAACACAAGAACACAGTTGGAAACTGAGACATTTGAACTTTTGTTCAAATGTCTCAGTTTTGTGAACTATGTCTGTGCCACAGAGACATTTGAATTTTTTTCTGTGTATGAGTAATTAACAGAAGGAATGAATTAGGCAGTGATGTGGTGGAGGTAGACCCCATACACAGTTTCAAATATAGATTTGATAGAGCTCAATAGGCTCAGGAATCTGTTCACCAGTTGATTGATAGTTGAGAGGCGGTACCAAGGTGCAAAAACTCAACCCCCCCCCCCCCCCCGCAAGTACAACTAGGTGAGTACCGCACTGGGCATATAGTAGCATTGTGACCAGGGGATCCCAACAATATATACAGTACTAGGCATTGTGTGGTCAGGAGATCTCACCATTGCATACTGTGTATTAGGCCTTTTATAGCATTGTGATCAGGGGATCCCACCACTATATTCAGTACAAGGTATGGTTAGGCACTATAACCCGTTAATTCCACAAATACGTATAGTACTAGGCATGGTATAACACTTTGAGCAGGGCATTCCACCACATCATTCAGTACTAGGCATAGCTTAGGTGTGTTCTTATTGGTTCCAACCTTTTGTGAATGCTCGTCCACCTTGTTGTATAGTCACACTGGAATAAACACAATTCTAGACAATAACCTTTCTGTCACTGTATCAAACTGCCAGAGAGAGGGATGGAATCATACTCATAGTCTTTGCCAGTGTGATATATTTCCTATGCGAGAGAGCTTGTGCGTTGTATACATGTGTTATGACAATCAGTACAGCGGTGAGGGCTATGAGAGGGCAGCTGCTGTATGCAGAAGACAGAGGAGCGTGCAGTTGCGGTGTTGCAGGAGAGTGGGGAGCGTACAGCTGCTGCAGTTGTCTACAGAAATTTGTTTTGATAATAATGATCGTTGTTATTACAGTTGTCGATCTTTCATCGTCAGGTTGATGCTTCTTCTTGTATATTATTCATTGATGAGGCTAAGGTTTGATATCCTTCTGTAGTAGCTGCTGGTGTTATTATTTTTCCCGCTACTGGTGTGGTGCATCCGCTTCCTTAGATTTCCTTAGTGTTTTTATGGCTTGTCATCGGTCTGTTACTGCTGTGATGGTCCTGTTTTGGTCAGTTCCTGCTCGGATGTTACTTTGTTTCTTATGTAATGTGGCTGATTAGGACTGATGCTGCTGATATTATTTCTGTAATGCTACTGTAACCTATGTGCTTATTCCGCCAACAGCCGCTGCAGCGGATGTTGCTCTTGAATGAGGTGTTGCTAAAGTCCTGGTTTGAAGTCTAGCTGAGTGGAAGCACTGAAGGCCTGGAGTTGTAGCTGACCTTTCTTCTTAGAGGAATAAAGTCCTGGGCCCAGATTCACGAAGCAGTTACGCAAGTACTTACGAACCCGTATATCTTTTGGCAATCGTTGGCGGCTTTGTTTACAATTATTAAACAGTTAATGAGCACCGAAGCACCAGGAGTCAGTTTATAACAATAACAAAAGTTGATTGGGAAGTTTTCTTGCTTGTAAACTGTTTAATAAATGTAACCAAAACCGTCAAAGATTGAGGAAAGATGTACAGGTTCATAAGTACTTGCGTAACTGCTTCGTGAATCTGGCCCCTGGATTTATATTTCTTTTGAAAGTATAGAGTGAGGGAGGGAGAGAAGAGTTTTCGGGTAGAGCGCCTGGGGTTCTCCTAGTGAGCCCTCGAAAGCTTTCCATCTAATTCATAAACGGAAACTTATTTGTAATTCTTGAGGCTGGTTTGTAAGCAGGTCAGCTTGATCTGTTATGTTTTCCTGTGTTTCTATTGGTTGATGCACGCCTCGAATTTATCAATCTGCGTGAGAGAAAGGAAGACATAGTGTTAAATGTCTCTGGTGTCCAAGACAATGGCCACAGACAGTTCATGTAGAGTATTCTGTCAAGTGAAGGAGTTAACCATCTCCGTTAGCGTGTAAAATCACGCTAGCTATAAAAAATCTTTTAAGGAAGGCCTTCAGATAATTGTCAGAAATCTATGTAGGACACAATCTCAGATAAGCAGCTCTGACATGGAATCTACATTTGTAAAAAAACATACAATTAATCTGTGTAATATTTAGAGATAAGCAACAAAGGCTTCTTCCGGAAATGAGGGGATTAATTAAGAGGAAGTAGTGGGAGGCTGATTGCTGAGAATCACCACAATAATCGGAAAAAGTAGCGAGGAAGATGTGGCAATAAGTTACAGTGTATTAAGGGAAACTGATAGAGTGTTTATACTCACGAGGAGAAACAGCAGCTCAAGATGTCATGTGGGGGGAAACAAGGAGTGCATCTTAGCCGAAAATGTGCCAGAAAGTACTTCCTGAACGCAGGACTCGTAAACAAGAACAATGGCTTGGAGAAAAACCTGTAGAGGGGATTTGCTAATACATTTGAAAAATTAAGTATGACAGGAAAGATAGAAAAAAGACTCACTACTTTGAATGGAAAGTAACCGGATATTCAGGGCTTTGGAGCTGACGTGCACTTCTGAGTGATTATGAACAAACACACAACTCACATCTCCGTTTTTGGTCATGAAACAGCGTAACATGGGCAGTAACTGGGTCTGGCTTAACCCAACGTCTCGGAAAAACTTCTCAGGACCTTGATGACACTTTGCATTACCAAACTCCCCAGAACCTGCAACAAGAACCCTCACATTATCCACCTTTCTGAGGCCTTCATTATTTAGTTCAGTCAAGAATGGGCAAATATAGTGCTGGGAATGAGTTTGGTTCACACACGAGCTGCTGACAGAAATTAATTATACTTGCAATAAATGCTTTACATACCCATCTGAGGGATCTTTACAGGATTAGTTCATTGGGGAGCGAACACGAGTTCTGAATGACAATTTGTGTTAGCAAACCATGATGTTTCTTTTAAGGTACTGACCATGATCCTCGAAGCTGTGAGGCCTAGGAAGGATTTTAGGGATAGTGATGTTGTAGCCAAGCTGCTGGGCACAGGCTGTGATGTTGGTCACGAACTGGGTCTCGAAGGTCGAATTTTGGATCCTCTCTGGTCTGAGCTGTTTTATGCAGTTCATCTTGTTATCTTGACACTGGGTCGTGTTGGTTGCAGTGCACAGCTCCTGAGCTGTGAGGGAAACACAACAGGGAGTGTACTGGTGTTGTAGAGCTTCTGGTCACCAGAGATCTTAAGAACTTAAACACTCAAGGTCATTTTCCTACACAGTCATCAATGTTTTAAATCTACGAATACCTTTCATAATTATTCTGCATATATAAAAAAACCCACCATAATCACTGTCATCAGCACCACTTTAGCTAACAACCAACTGTGAATACAAAAATAGCACTATCAACATCACCAACAGTGCACACACAGCATCATCATCACAGTGAACACACAGCATCACCATGACCAGCAGTGAACACACAGCATCACCATCACCAGCAGTGAACACACACACACCACCACCATCACCAGCAGAGCACACACAGCATCACCATCACCAGCAGTGAACACACAGCAGCACCATCACCAGCAGTGAACACACACCCAGCAACACCCTCACCAGCAGTGAACACACACACAGCATCACCATCACCAGCAGTGAACACACACACAACACCACCATCACAAGCAGTGAACAAACAGCCCGCACCACCCTCACCAGCAGTGAACACACACACACACACACAGCACCACCCTCACCAGCAGTGAACACACACACACACACACACAGCACCACCCTCACCAGCAGTGACACACACACACACACACACAGCACCACCCTCACCAGCAGTGAACACACACACACACACACACAGCACCACCCTCACCAGCAGTGAACACACACACACACACAGCACCACCCTCACCAGCAGTGAACACACACACACACACACACAGCACCACCCTCACCAGCAGTGAACACACACACACACACAGCACCACCCACACCAGCAGTGAACACACAGCACCACCATCACCAGCAGTGAACACACACACACAACACCACCATCACCAGCAGTGAACACACAGCACTACCATCACCAGCAGTGAACACACAGCATCACCATCACCAGCAGTGAACACACACACACCACCACCATCACCAGTAGAGCACACACAGCATCACCATCACCAGCAGTGAACACACAGCAGCACCATCACCAGCAGTGAACACACACCCAGCAACACCCTCACCAGCAGTGAACACACACACAGCATCACCATCACCAGCAGTGAACACACACACAACACCACCATCACCAGCAGTGAACACACACAGCACCACCATCACAAGCAGTGAACAAACAGCCCGCACCACCCTCACCAGCAGTGAACACACACACACAAACACAGCACCACCCTCACCAGCAGTGAACACACACACACACACACACAGCACCACCCTCACCAGCAGTGAACACACACACAACAGCACCACCATCACCAGCAGTGAACACACAGCAACACCATCACCAGCAGTGAACACACAGCACCACCATCACCAGCAGTGAACACACACACAACAGCACCACCATCACCAGCAGTCAACACACAGCACTACCATCACCAGCAGTGAACACACAGCACTACCATCACCAGCAGTGAACACACAGCACTACCATCACCAGCAGTGAACACACAGCACCACCATCACCAGCAGTGAACACACACAACAGCACCACCATCACCAGCAGTGAACACACAGCACCACCATCACCAGCAGTGAACACACAGCATCGCCATCACCAGCAGTGAACACACACACAACAGCACCACCATCACCAGCAGTCAACACACAGCACTACCATCACCAGCAGTGAACACACAGCACTACCATCACCAGCAGTGAACACACACACACCACCACCATCACCAGCAGAGCACACACAGCACCACCATCACCAGCAGAGCACACACAGCATCACCATCACCAGCAGTGAACACACAGCATCACCATCACCAGCAGTGAACACACAGCATCACCATCACCAGCAGTGAACACACACAACCACCATCACCAGCAGAGCACTCACAGCATCACCATCACCAGCAGTGAACACACAGCATCACCATCACCAGCAGTGAACACACAGCACCACCATCACCAGCAGTGAACACACAGCACCACCATCACCAGCAGTGAACACACAGCACCACCATCACCAGCAGTGAACACACAGCACCACCATCACCAGCAGTGAACACACAGCACCACCATCACCAGCAGTGAACACACAGCACCACCATCACCAGCAGTGAACACACAGCACCACCATCACCAGCAGTGAACACACAGCACCACCATCACCAGCAGTGAACACACAGCACCACCATCACCAGCAGTGAACACACAGCACCACCATCACCAGCAGTGAACACACAGCATCACCATCACCAGCAGAGCACACACAGCATCACTATCACAAGCAGTGAACACACACACACCACCACCATCACCAGCAGAGCACACACAGCACCACCATCACCAGCAGTGAACACACAACACAACACTGGGACAGGTAGACTGAGTGGGAAGAACCACCACAACACTGGGACAGGTAGACTGAGTGGGAAGAACCACCACAACACTGGGACTGGTAGACTGAGTGGGAAGAACCACCACAACACTGGGACAGGTAGACTGAGTGGGAAGAACCACCACAACACTGGGACAGGTAGACTGAGTGGGAAGAACCACCACAACACTGGGACAGGTAGACTGAGTGGGAAGAACCACCACAAACAGGTAGACTGAGTGGGAAGAACCACCACAACACTGGGACAGGTAGACTGGTAAACACAACTTGAAGAGCCAGGAAGTAAACAACTAGAGCTGCAGGAGGGGATGCACAATGGTAACATAACCCTCGGTCATTACTGCAGGCGTTGGTCAGGCCAGTAAGTTACTTGGGACCTGGCGGTGGCCGCGTCTCTGTGTCTCCCATCGATCTCTCTGTCCATCTATCCACATATCTATCCATCAATTTATCCCTCCATCTATCCATCTGTCTATAAATCTAACTGTCCCTCTATTTGTCCATTTAACTATCTATCTATCTATCCACCTCCCTATCTGTCTAAAAATCTATCCATCTATCCGACTATCTCTTCATTCATCTATTCATCTATCCATCTATTCATCTGTACATCACTCTACCCATCTATCCATCTATTCATCTATACATCACTCTACCCATCTATCCATCCATCTATCCATCCATATTTCCATCTGTCTATCAATCTATCTATCCGTCTGTCTATTCATGCATATATATCCGTCCATTTAACTTTCGACCTCTCTATTAATCTCTTCATCTTTCAATCCATCTATCTATCTACCTGCCATCTATCTTCCAAACCATCTGTCTATCTTTACATTCATCTATCCATTCATCTATTCATCCATACATCCATCGAGCCATCAATCTACCCATCTATATATCCATCTATCCATCAGTCTATCTATACATCTATCAGTATTTACATTTATCAGTGAGATCATCTGTCCATCAATTTATCTATCCATCTATTAGTCTATCCATCCATCCATCTGTGAGTCCATCTATCCATCAATCTATATATCCATCTATCAGTGCATCCATCCATCTACTTAATCATCTATCCTTCCACATATTTCCATCTATCTGCTATCTGTCTCTGTCTCTCTCTGTCTTTGTTTCTCTTTGTCTCTGTTTCTCTCTGTCTGTCACTCTGTGTTTGTCTGTCTTTGTCGCTTTCTCTGTTTGTATGTCTCGGTCTCTCTCTCTTCTTCTGTCTCTCTCAAATAAAAAAATATAACTGTCTAATATGTGGGTGGTCGCCCGTGAGAGGAGCTTAGTGGTGTGAAATACTAACAAATGAGTAGTTAATTCTTGAATGCTTTCGGAAAGTGTTAAGATGAGTGAAAGAATACTATTAATGAACGAAGCAGAGTCAAAGTAGAAGGAATAATAGAAGAGTGGTCATGAATGGGGTGACTCATGGGTGGGCTCTAGGGACACATCCTGCTCTTCATACACGTAAACCACCAAAGATAACGAGTAAGCTCTTTCTTGTCAATATTTTATGACATCTTGAGGTTATCTTGAGATGATTTCGGGGCTTTAGTGTCCCCGCGGCCCGGTCCTCGACCAGGCCTCCACCCCCAAGAAACAGCCCGTGACAGCTGACTAACTCCCAGGTACCTATTTACTGCTAGGTAACAGGGGGGCATAGGGTGAAAGAAACTTTGCCCATTTGTTTCTGCCTCGTGCGGGAATCGAACCCGCGCCACAGAATTACGAGTCCTGCGCGCTATCCACCAGGCTACGAGGCCCACCTACAAACATTGTTAAACAAATGAGAAGTATCAGAACTGAGGAGCAATATTGTGCAGGATAAAATACTGTCTTTAATGATCATCTGAAATATAACTAATGGACTTGATCCGTGACAAATGCAGTGCTATGATATGTGCTATACTAGGCCTTTCTATAATATTTCATCTTGTTTTAGCTTTATTTTTTCGAGCTCTAAAATTAATAGTACCAAATTCTATTTTTTATTTTTCATTACGTCGTTATTTGTACGATCGTGCACATAGTTCAACAAGCACTATCTTACCAGGAGGGAAGGTTTACTACGCAGACATCCCAAGAATCTTCACAACCTTGAAGACAGGAGCCTTTCGAAAACTGTACATCATATGTGAACCACATTCTTGAGTATGCTGCCCGCACATGGAACCCCTTTCTATAAACGCGCACACACACACACACACACACACACACACACACACACACACACACACACACACACACACACACACACACACACACACACACACATACACACAGGTTGTGGGCAGAGCACACAGAGCTGTCTGCCTGCTTAGATATCCAGGCATTTGTTACGGAGTGGCGACCACGTCACAAGGTATCCAGCAGTGTAAGATACTAACAGAGTAGTGGGGAAATGGAATGCACTTCAGGAACAGGTTGTGGAAGCAAATACTATTCATAATTTTAAAACCAGGTATGATAGGGAAATAGGACAGGAGTCATTGCTGTAAACAACCGATGCTCGAAAGGCGGGATCCAAGAGTCAATGCTCGATCCTGCAGACACAACTAGGTGAGTAACTAGGTGAGTACACACACACACACACACACACACACACACACATACACACACACACACACACACACACACACACAGGCTACCAAGGGGGCCCGGTAGCCTGGTGGATAGCGCGGAGGACTCGTAATTCTGTGGTGCGGGTTCGATTCCCGCACCAGGCAGAAACAAATGGGCAAAGTTTCTTTCACCCTGAATGCCCCTGTTACCTAACAGTAAATAGGTACCTGGGAGTTAGTCAGCTGTCACGGGCTGCTTCCTGGTGTATGTGTGTGTGTGTGTGTGTGTGTGGGGTGTGAGGAGAGAGGAAAAAAATAGTTAGTAAACAGTTGATTGACAGTTGAGAGGCGGGCCTAAAGAGCAAAGCTCAATCCCCGCAAACACAACTAGGTAAATACACACTTACACACACACACACACACACACACACACACACACACACACACACACACACACACACACACACACACACACACACACACACACACTGAGTGAATGGTCCAACAAATGGCTGTTGAAGTTCAACCCGAGTAAATGCAAAGTAATGAAACTAGGTGGTGGAAATAGGAGGCCAAACACAGGATACAGAATAGGAGATGAAGTACTTAATGAAACGAACAAAGAGAAAGATCTAGGAGTTGATATCACACCAAACCTGTCTCCTGAAGCCCACATAAAAAGAATAACGTCTGCGGCATATGCGAGGCTGGCTAACATCAGAACAGCGTTCAGGAACCTGTGTAAGGAATCATTCAGAATCTTGTACACCACATATGTAAGACCAATCCTGGAGTATGCGGCCCCAGCATGGAGCCCGTACCTTGTCAAGCACAAGACGAAGCTGGAAAAAGTCCAAAGGTATGCCACTAGACTAGTCCCAGAACTAAGAGGCATGAGTTACGAGGAAAGGCTGCGGGAAATGCACCTTACGACACTGGAAGACAGAAGAGTAAGGGGAGACATGATCACAACCTACAAAATCCTCAGGGGAATCGACCGGGTAAACAAGGATAACCTATTTAACACTGGTGGGACGCGAACAAGGGGACACAGGTGGAAACTGAGTACCCAAATGAGCCACAGAGACGTTAGAAGGAACTTTTTCAGTGTCAGATTAGTTAACGGATGGAATGCACTAGGAAGTGATGTGGTGGAGGCTGACTCCATACACAGTTTTAAATTTAGATATGATAGAGCCCAGTAGGCTCAGGAATCTGTACACCAGTTGATTGACAGTTGAGAGGCGGGACTAAAGAGCCAAAGCTCAACCCCCGCAAGCACAAATAGGTGAGTACAAATAGGTGAGTACACACACACAGTGAATAATCAGTGCGCTAGTGGCTGAGTGAATGACTCAGTGAATCAGAATCAATGAATCACAGTGAATCAGTGATCAGTGAATAATGTGCACATTACTATAAAAAATAATTTCGAATTCTGGTGACCGTGACCTGCCTATGTTCAACTTGTATCACAGACCATTCTCCCGGCCAATTTGGATGATACTAGCCATAAGCATGTGACCACCAACTTTGGACAGACAGACAGACATGGGTGCTGGTGGCTGGGTGGACAGCACGCAGGATACGCAGTCCTGTGGTCCGGGGTTCGATTCCTGGCGCCAGCGGAAACAAAAATAGGCAGAGTTTCTTTCACACTGATTCCCCTGTTAACTAGCAGTAAATAGGTACCTGGGAGTTAGACAGCTGTTACGGGCTGCTTCCTGTGTGTGTGTGTGTGTGTGTGTGTGTGTGTGTGTGTGTGTGTGTGTGTGTGTGTGTGTGTGTGTGTGTGTGTGTGTGTGTGAAAAAAATGTAGTAGTTAGTGACAGTTGAGAGGTGGGCCGAAAGAGCAGAGCACAACCCCCGCAAGCACAACTAGGTGAAAACAAACACACTCACATACACACCAGCCCATCCTCTCGAGTTGTCACAACGTCACAAAAGTAGTGAGCTAAATTTCCCGAACCCAATTTCTAAGCAACTAGTAGTTACGAGCGTTCCTAACGTCAGAAAACGGATGTACTAAAATGCTGAACTTAACCTAACCAAGGACACGAAAAGAAATCGGGAAAATTTTTAATACATCAAGTTTTGACAGTGAAAATTTTTATGTCAAAATACGATGTATTATTCGTGAAGATAGATCGGAATCTGCGCCGTCTTAATTAAACCGTAACTAGAATGTGCATCGCCACCCTCGAATTTATTTCAAGCATAGCAAAGAAATTTTTTTTAAAAGGTGTAGAGGTTTGCATCAAGACTGGTGCCAACACTAAGAGGATTAAGCTACGAGAACAGGTTATGGGAACTAAATTTCACAACACTACAGATGAGAAGAATCTCAGAGTACAACATAAAAGATACTGAGGGGAATAAACGAGAGCCTTTTTAAATAGGGAAAATTTAGATAGAGTTGGACAAGAGGACTTAGGTGGAAACAGAACACGCTTATAAATAGAAGAAAGTTAAAGAAATATTCGCACCCTTTACAAGAGGTCACCAAGTGGAATGAGCTAAAGTAAGTTGTGGACGACACCTCTATCCACCACTTTAAGGTTAGGTTCGACTGGCACTACCTGTGCCAGTCTATTTTTAACGTCAGGATAGTTAACTTATAACGCAAGATCAACAACTAGGCAAGAAAGATGGGCACTTCCCATACTCACTGATATATTAATCGTTGATAGTTAGCACAAAGAGCAATTGGACTTACTGAGGTTGGTGAGAGTTGAGAGTCCATCGTCGTTGTTACATGGGGGTCCACCACCCCTATTGTCTCTTCTGGGGACGGCGTTCGCCCTCACCATCATCACCACAGCCATCACTGCTGCGGTCACCACAACACTCTTCATTACCTTCATGTTGAGCCTCACCAACACTCTGGGGAGGAGAACGAGTTTATTGGCCATAGACAGGGAAGAGAGTAGTCATCGTTCTTAGACAGGAAGAGGAAAATATTCGTTCTTAGACAGGAAGAGGATGTGGATAGATCTTGGACTTCAACAATTAGTCAATAGGTTGTAGATGAAGGTCTTCGCCCCTAGACAGGGAAAGGAAGGTCGTTGCCCTTAGACAAAGAGAGGAAGGTTGATTTCCATGGACAGGGAGATGGACGTCGTCTTCGTGAGACAGGGAGGAGATCGTCCCAGCAAAGGGCAAACCTCACCGTGTCATCCATATACGTTGTATGGAGAAAATATTTGCAATAATATATGAAAGGTCAGGAAGAGTAATAAAGAAAGGTCAGGAAGAGTGATAAAGATCAGGAAGAGTGATAAAGATCAGGAAGAGTGATAAAGAAAGGTCAGGAAGAGTAATAAAAAAAGGTCAGGAAGAGTGATAAAGATCAGGAAGAGTGATAAAGGTCAGAAAGAGTGATAAAGAAAGATCAGGTAGAGTAATAAAAAAAGGTCAGGAAAAGTAATAAAGAAAGGTCAAGAAGAGTAATTCAGAAAGGAATATTAGAAATATTAGATTGCGGAAGCTGATGACAGATTGGACGATGGGAGACGGAACTACACTTTGGGGCCTATGCTCAAGAAAGACGGTTGAGCTACACCCAAAGGGTTGAGCTGGACAGTATCCAGAGGACATAAATACCCCGAGGTGACAAATCAACACAAACCAGGGCAGTTATACCCAGAGGACAGAGATGCATTCACGGATGGTCTTGCACGAAGGTGGTAAATGTTCACTCAAGGGGGCAGAACTACACTCAAGGAACATGGTTACAGGAACCAGACAAAGTAACACTCCGGTTGCCGAACATCACTCTGGTGACAGAGCTTCACCCAGCGAGCAAATCTACGCCCATTGAGACGTAAAGCAACACTAAGTGGGCCGAGAGGCACCAAGGGAATAATCAAGGCTCAGGGAAACGAGCTACACCCAGCATACAGAGGTACACTTGGAGGTTTAATTATCTAACGACCAAAGCTACACCTTTAGGGGAAAAGTTACAATCCAAAAAATAAATGTTCTCTTTAGGGGCAGGGCTTCACAAGGGGGACAGATTTACATCTTGGGATCAGAGCTACACCAAGAGAGAGGAGCTTTACAAGGGGACAGAACGACACTAAGAGAGCAGAACTACCCTCGAGGGACACACCAATGAGTCTAAGTTCACCAGAGTGAACTACACTTAAGAGATAGAGCAATACTAAGATGTCCGAGATTTATACTGGAGCAGAGGTACTCAGAGAGACGAGAGAGCAGAGCTACACCCAGTGGCAGAGGCTCGCCAAGAGGCGGGAATATAACGTGGGGTCATAGCTACACCCAGGTTGCAGAATTACACCCAGGAGGCATATGTAAATTGCAGAGGAAGAACTAGATCTAAGAAGCGGAGCTGCACCTAGGAGGCCACAATTCACCCAGAAAGCAGATGTACAAGTACCCATGGGGGGACAGAACTACACCCAAAGAGCAGAGAAACATATAGAGAACACAGCAAATGTACACTCTGGAGGCACAGCTACAGTCAGGGGCGTAGGCTACACCTAAATATTTGTTTGCAGGATACAAACAAAGAAGGCAGTGTTACACATGGGGAGGGGGGGGGGCAGTGCTAAACCACTTGGGCAGTGCTACACATAGGGGCAGTGCTACACATAGGGCTAGTGCTACACATAGAGGCAGTGCTACACATTGGGACAGTGCTACACATAAGGGCAGTGCCACACATAGGGGCAGTGCTACACATAAAGGCAGTGTTACACACATAGTTGCAGTGCTACACATTGGCGCAGTGCTACACATAGAGGCAGTGCTACACATTGGGAAGCGCTACACATAAGGGCAGTGCCACACATAGGGGAAGTGCTACACATTGGCGCAGTGCTACACATTGAGACAGTGCTTCACATAGGGATGTGCGACACATAGGGGCAGTACTACACATAGGGGCAGTGCTACACATAGGGCTGTGCTACACATAGAGGCAGAGCTGCACATAAAAGCAGTGCTACACGTAGGGCTGTGCGACACATAAGGGCAGTGCTATATATATGACTGTGCTACACATAGGGGCAGAGCTAAACAATGGGGCAGTACTACACATAGTGGCAGTGCTACACATAGTGGCAGTGCTACACATAGGGGCAGTGCTACACACAGGGGCTAAACATAAAAAAGATGTTCAAAATATGGTGGTAGAATTACTCAAATGAATCAGAGCTACATCTAGGAAGCCAAGATTCACCTAGAGGTCATTGCTACATGTGCCCTTGGTTCAAACCACCCAGGAAGCAGAGCTACACCCAGGGAAAAGAGCTTTACTACGAGGACAGAGCATCACCCAAGTGGCAGGGAATTATACACCCAAGGAGCTGAGGTGATACTGGTGATACAAAATTACAAGGTTTAAAGAGCTACACTCAAGGAACAGAGCTGCACATAGGGGGGCTGGGATACACCCAAGGTGTTGGACTACACCCAGAGGGAAGAGATACACCCAAGGAGCCAACGCTGATTATCAGGACTCATACAAGAGGTTACCAAAACACCAGATAAAGACCGTTGACTCACCTGATGCTGTTTAAAGGTTACAATGTTTAGGAAAGCAGGAATGAGTGAGGCCGCGGAGGTTGTTGTAGGCTAGCCTGGATGGTCGTGTGTAGTAGTGGCGAGACAGGGACCCCATATATATACCCAAACACAAACGCCCAGGATGTCCACATGCTAGTGTCAATATAAAAGCGGATGGAACATTAATTACTGCAAAAGCCCATCATGGCGAGCATTGAGCAATTCATGTAATTGTCAAGTAGCGGATTTGTTTGGACAAAAAATGCTTCTTTGTCCATATATAATCAAATTCAGAATACTATTATTAAAAAGAATGTGATAACAGAATATTATCATTAACATGATGTGAGCACACAACACTATCATTAACATGATGTAAGCACACAACACTATCATTAACATGATGTAAGCACACAACACTATCATTAACATGATGTAAGCACACAACACTATCATTAACATGATGTAAGCACACAACACTATCATTAACGTGATGTGAGCACACAACACTATCATTAACATGATGTAAGCACACAACACTATCATTAGCATGATGTGAGCACACAACACTATCATTAACATGATGTAAGCACACAACACTATCATTAACATGATGTAAGCACACAACACTATCATTAACATGATGTAAGCACACAACACTATCATTAACATGATGTAAGCACACAACACTATCATTAACGTGATGTGAGCACACAACACTATCATTAACATGATGTAAGCACACAACACTATCATTAGCATGATGTGAGCACACAACACTATCATTAGCATGATGTGAGCACACAACACTATCATTAACATGATGTGAGCACACAACACTATCATTAACATGATGTAAGCACACAACACTATCATTAGCATGATGTGAGCACACAACACTATCATTAGCATGATGTGAGCACACAACACTATCATTAGCATGATGTGAGCACACAACACTATCATTAACATGATGTGAGCACACAACACTATCATTAACATGATGTGAGCACACAACACTATCATTAACATGATGTGAGCACACAACACTATCATTAGCATGATGTGAGCACACAACACTATCATTAGCATGATGTGAGCACACAACACTATCATTAACATGATGTGAGCACACAACACTATCATTAACATGATGTAAGCACACAACACTATCATTAGCATGATGTGAGCACACAACACTATCATTAGCATGATGTGAGCACACAACACTATCATTAGCATGATGTGAGCACACAACACTATCATTAACATGATGTGAGCACACAACACTATCATTAACATGATGTGAGCACACAACACTATCATTAACATGATGTGAGCACACAACACTATCATTAACATGATGTGAGCACACAACACTATCATTAACATGATGTAAGCACACAACACTATCATTAACATGATGTAAGCACACAACACTATCATTAACATGATGTAAGCACACAACACTATCATTAACATGAAGGAAGAACACAAAACTATCATTAACATGATGGAAGCACACGACACTATTAATAACATGATAGAAGGACGCACACAACACTATCAATAACATGATATGAGCACACAATACTATCATTAACATGATGGAAGCACACAAACTATCATTAACATGATGGAAGCACACAAACTATCATTAACATGATGGAAGCACACAAACTATCATTAACATGATGGAAGCACACAAACTATCATTAACATGATGGAAGCACACAAACTATCATTAACATGATGGAAGCACACAAACTATCATTAACATGATGGAAGCACACAAACTATCATTAACATGATGGAAGCACACAAACTATCATTAACATGATGGAAGCACACAAACTATCATTAACATGATGGAAGCACACAAACTATCATTAACATGATGGAAGCACACAACACTATCATTAACATGATGGAAGGAAGAACACAACCCACTCATTAAGATAATGAAAGGAAGCACATAAGATTTTTTTTTTTATTTATTTATTTATTTTTTTTTTTTTTTTTGAGATATATACAAGAGTTGTTACATTCTTGTACAGCCACTAGTACGCGCAGCGTTTCGGGCAAGTCCTTAATCCTATGGTCCCTGGAATGCGATCCCCTGCCGCGAAGAATCGTTTTTTCATCCAAGTACACATTTTACTGTTGCGTTAAACAGAGGCTACAGTTAAGGAATTGCTCCCAGAAAATCCTCCCCGGCCAGGATACGAACCCATGACACAGCGCTCGCGGAACGCCAGGCGAGTGTCTTACCACTACACCACGGAGACTGTCCGTGGTGTAGTGGTGTTAATTATCAATGTTAGCACCATTGTATCTTGTACCAATGTTAGCACCAATGTTAGTGGTGTTAATTATCAATATTAACACCACAGTTAATAACCGTGGTGTTAATTATCATTAACATGAAGGAAGTACACAACACTATCATTAGAATGATGGAAGGAAGCACACCACACAATCATTAACATGATGGAAGGAAGCACACCACACAATCATTAACATGATGGAAGGAAGCACACCACACAATCATTAACATGATGGAAGGAAGCACACCACACAATCATTAACATGATGGAAGGAAGCACACACCACTAATAACAACATGATGGAAGGAAGCACACCACACAATCATTAACATGATGGAAGGAAGCACACCACACAATCATTAACATGATGGAAGGAAGCACACCACACAATCATTAACATGATGGAAGGAAGCACACACCACTAATAACAACATGATGGAAGGAAGCACACCACACAATCATTAACATGATGGAAGGAAGCACACCACACAATTATTAACATGATGGAAGGAAGCACACCACACAATCATTAACATGATGGAAGGAAGCACACACCACTAATAACAACATGGTGGAAGGAAGCACACGTACCACACAATCATTAACATGATGGAAGGAAGCACACCACACAATCATTAACATGATGGAAGGAAGCACACCACACAATCATTAACATGATGGAAGGAAGCACACACCACTAATAACAACATGGTGGAAGGAAGCACACGTACCACACAATCATTAACATGATGGAAGGAAGCACACCACACAATCATTAACATGATGGAAGGAAGCACACCACACTATCATTAACATGATGGAAGGAAGCACACACCACTAATAACAACATGGTGGAAGGAAGCACACGTACCACACAATCATTAACATGATGGAAGGAAGCACACACCACTAATAACAACATGATGGAAGGAAGCACACCACACAATCATTAACATGATGGAAGGAAGCACACATCACTGTCATTAACTTGAAGAAAGAACACAACGCTATCATTAATATGATGGAAGGAAGCACACAACGATCAGAATTCTGTGTTGAGTTTCACTTACGAGATGGAGAAGGATGGGAAGCTGCCCTTTCTGGATGTAACAGTCATGGAAAGGAGCGGAGGTTTCCACACTGCAGTCTACACTAAGGAAACAAACATAGGAATATGCCTCATTGCTAACAGTGACTGCCCAGACACGCACAAGAGAAGTGTTGTCAACGCTTACATCGACCGTGCTCTCAGGCACAGCTCTGGATGGAAGCAAGTCGAGGAAGAACTCTGTAGGGTGAGGCAGGTCCTAGTCAACAACGGCTTCTCCAATGGTTTCGTTCGAGACATCATAAAAAAGAAGGTGAAACGCCATGCAACCTCTGATGAGTCAACTAACACAACACCTGTACCCCCTATTAGACTATATTACAGGAACTTCTTTTCCACAGCTCATAAAACGGAGGAAAGGGTCCTGAAAGATATTGTTAATAGAAACGGTATCCCTACAGACAAAAATCGGAAGATACAATTGACCATTTACTACAAAACCAAAAAAAACAGCCAACCAACTCATGAAAAACTATCCAGACATAAAGCAGAATGCCTTAAAAGAGACCAACGTCGTCTATGCCTTCAAATGTCCACTTGGGGACTGTAAGCCCCAAAGAACTCAGTATATAGGCAAGACAACAACATCTCTTTCCAGGCGATTAACAATGCATAAGCAACAGGGCTCCATTAAGAAACATTATAATCTCTTCCCACAACCAGACCATCACCAGAGAAGTATTAACAAACAACACAGAAATCATCGATAGATACAGCGATAGCAGGCGGCTTGATATCTGCAAGGCACTACACATCAAAAAGTCAACACCAGTAATCAACAGCCAATTAATGCACAACTATATTCTACCCACTTCAAGACTCCGTACCAATATAGAAGCATCAAGAGGAAGTATAGCCCAATTGGCCCTTTGCAGTTACTTCCATTCTTCCCTTTCACTTATCCAATTTATACCCCTTGAACCGTGTTCTGTCTTGTGTTGGTCAAAAGTTTGTTCACCTCATCCAGAACTGTTTCAACATATCAGCTCACCCAAATGACAGTATATAAGACAAGCTGTTTAGCGTTAGAATTACTAAAACTCTGTTAAGTGTTTTCAGGTTACAAGTTGTGTGTGTGTAAACTAAAGTCTTTGAAAATGTAATACGTTATTACGAAACGCGTTCAAGCGTCGCGTCAGACTAGAAATAAAAATGATCAGACTGGAAATAAAAAATTTGGAAAATTTATTTTTCAATTACCATCGAATTCGTGTTAGAATTATTAGTCTTACTTTTTCAGTCATATTTAACAACAAATATATATGTATATATATATATATATATATATATATATATATATATATATATATATATATATATATATATATATATATATATATATATATAGTAGTAGGCATCCTTCAGTCTCGGGAGACTATGGAGTTGCGCCCTAGTTGTCAATCCTGGTGCAGCGTCTGGTGTGACTGATGAGGCCAATCCGAGAGTGGCAGTCCATCCCACACCGAGCACAAACGAAGTCCGATTCTGGTCTGTCTTCCTGGTTACCGGCTTTCCTTCTCTGTCTCTTTGCCTCCAATTCCTTGGCAAGTGACTCCTCGAACTTGGAGAGACCTCGTTGAACAGACTGCCTCCAGGCTGAACGGTCTGTAGCCAGTGTCTCCCATATAGCAAGATCGA